GAGAGGTAGGAGCCAGAGAAGGAGGAGGATTCCAGGGGCCAGCCACCCAGCTACACAGCAAGCCGCCGCGGAGTAGGAATAAAATTCAGGGGAATAGAAAAGGAAAAAGAGAGATGGGGTAATTTAAGAAAAGCTGGCAGGACACTAAGTCAAGCTAAGGCTGGGCATTCATAAGTGATACTAAGCCTCCGGGTATGATTTATTTGGGAGCTGGGTGGTGGCACCCCAACAAAGAGCCCCAAAAAACCAACAACAGTTAAGGCTTCAGGGTGGCGATCTGAGGCAGGGAGTGGACGGCTCCCCTTGCCCATTTCTCAGATGGGTCCATTGATGTGCAAGGCAAGAACAGAACCCAGGGTCCTGAGCTAGGAGGACACTGTGCAATCTGTATTAGTCAGCTACTGCTGAGTAACAAAAGGAACCAAGGGTAGCTTGCTTTCCAGCACTTACTCACCTGTCAGTGTCATCCCCTTACAACCACTCCCTCCTCCTCGTTTATGCTGTTGCCAAGGTCACCGAGACCTGGAGGGGAGCTTCAGCGAGTCACATGAAGAGCCAGGGTGACGGGGTGAAGCCTGGATACAGCATGTACAAAGGGCCCGGGAGGCAGGATTGAGCTACAGGACGGGCTAGGAACATGGAAGGCTGGCGTCAACCTCTGCAGTGGAGGACGACCCTGAGCTGCTCCTGCTCATGGCCACACCTCTTCACCTAGTTAACTTAGCCACATCGAGGTGCTGGAAAGAGAACCCAGGAACGCCAGGGAATCTGTCCACCTCTGAGCCATACCCTGAACCTTTTATGGTGTTTTGTTTTGAAATTCTATTTTTTTGTTTTTCCTGAGACAGGGTTTCTTGGTGCAGCCTAGGCTGTCCTGGAACTCACTCTGTAGACCAGGCTGGCCGCCAACTCAGAGATCCTCCTGCCTCTGCCTGCTAAGTGCCGGGGTTAAGTTGTGCGCCACCGCCGCCCGGCGATTTATTTTCTTTTCTGAGTGTTTGAGCAGCACGTATGGGCACCACTTGCGTGCAGCTCCTGGGGCAGCCAAGAGGACGTCCAGTCCCTCGGCACTGGAGTCATAGACAGCTGTGAGCTGCCATGTGGGCACTGGGAACTGAACCTGGGTCCTCTGGAAGAGCAGGCAGCGCACTGAGCCATCTCTCCAGCCCCATGAAACCTTTGTTCTTATGTACTTACTTGTTTGTTGGTTTTTGGGAAAAAAAACCAAAAAAACAAAAAACATTCTTTGTGTCTTGAGAGTGATTGTCATGTGCGGGTGGCTGATGGAGGAGGCCAGGAGAGGGAGTCAGACCCACCCCCAACTTCAAGCTGGAGTTATAGGCTGTTGTAATGAGTCACCCCAAAACCACAGAGACTCACTGCCTCACTAGTGCTGGAATTAAAAGTGTGCCCCATGGCTGGAGGGATGGCTGTAGAGGTTAGAGCACTGGCTGCTCTTCCCCAAGTCCTGAGCTCAATCCCCAGCACCCACATGGTGGCTCACAACCATCTTAAAAATGTGCCCCACGACACTGGACTTAATACAGTATTTTCTTGAGATTTAATTTTCTTCTTTTCTGTTCTTTTTTTCTAAACATGGTTTCTCTGTGTAGCTCTGGCTGTCCTGGAACTCACTCTGTAGACCAGGCTGACCTTGAACTCACAGAGATCCACCTGCCTCTGTATCTCAGTGCTGGGATTAAAAGTGTATGTCACCAGTCCTGGCCCAGTTTTGGTATTTTTATTTTTGTTTTTTCCTTTGGAGAAAGAGTCTGAATATGTAGCCCAGGCTGACCTGGAACGCACTCTGTAGCCCAAACTGGCCTGGAACTCACCAAGTATTGGAGGATGACCTTGAAATCCTGATGCCCCTGCCTCCATCTCCCAAGCCACGGATGACAGGTGTACTGCACGTCTGATTTCTGTGGTGCTGGGTAGGGCACTGGAGCTCCTGTCCTGCTAGGTGGGCACTCTACCCACTGAAGCCCCGCCTCAGACATTACTCTTTGCTCCGTGTCGGCCTCCCCAACGCCATTTCCCCTGGCCTTCTACGGTTTGGAACCTGATGTTTCTCGGGAAAAATTCTCATTATTGAAGGGGTAGTGAGTTCCAGAATTCCCAAATTAAAAGACTCAAAAGTACATCCAGCAGCCACCCGACCTAGTGCATGCCTGTGATCCCAGCTTGGAGGCAGGAGGATCAGGAATTCGGGGGAGACAGAGGAGGAGGGAGGGGGGCTGCTTCTTCCCCACCCCGCCTGACCATTGTTTTGAATCACAGATCGAGGTCCTCATCTTTCCATTTGTAAATACTTCCAAGTTTGGGCTGGAGAAGTGGGCCAGTGGTTAGAGCACCAGCTGCCCTACCAGAAGTCCCAGGTTCGGTTCCCAGCACCGGCATGGCAGTTCACAACCATCTGTAGTTCTAGCACCAGGGGACTCAACGCCTCCTTTTAGCCTATGTGGACACACACACACACACACACACACACACACACACACACACACACACAAACACAGTAAGTCTCCAAAGAGTTCCAAGTGTGACTCTGACCCAGAGTTCCTCAGCAGTGGTGACTCCTCCCCTCAGAGGACGCCGGGTGACATCTTGGGCACGCGTGGCTGTCACCCAGGGGCAGGGAGCGATGTGGGTGTCTGAGACGGCCATGTCAGAACAGTGAAATGGAAGGTGGAAGTCCAGAGTCTCTGAGAGGGGCTGTCTGCCTCCCCTGTATGTTTTGTGAAACTATTCTTTGCGTTTTATTATCTTGCACGTGTATGAGGGTGTCCTCTGAACGTGTGTGTGTGTGTGTGCACTGTGCAGGCCTGGTGCCCCTGGTCCAGAGTAACCCCCAGAGTGGAGTCACAGCTGTGAGCGGCCTCCCTCTCCGGCCTGTTTCTCTCAATGTTTTCCTTTATTTGTGTACGTGCCTGCGGAATCGGCTCCTCCCTCCGCCCGCCGTGCATCCTGCCGCCTGAACCCCTTCTCCTGCTGAGGGGTCGGGTCCCCAGGGCTCTCCTGCGGCGGTCCACGCCGCCCCCTGGTGGCCCGAGGGGCCCGTGGACCTAACAGTTGTGTGTGAGCTGTCCAGTGTGGAGTCCAGCTGCGGGAGCACCCGCCCTCGACGAACCCCAACCCTTCTTCTCATACAGGCGGCAAAGCAGGCACACGCGAAAAATAAACACGTTTAAAATATTAAAAATGACCAGACCAAAGAACACCCCAGACCGTGCCCTGCTGGGGAGCCGAGGCCCGCAGCGACGCCCATCTTACCACACCGCATTTTATTTTTATTTTTGTTTTTATTTGGTTTTTTGGAGACAGGGTTTCCCTGTGTAGCTCTGCACCTGTCCTGGAACTCCCTCTGTAGACCAGGCTGGCCTCGAACTCACAGACATCCACCTGCCTCTGCCTCCCGAGGGCTGGGACTAAAGGAGTGCGCCACCACCGCCCGGCACCAAGCCACATTTTTTGACAGCTGCTATTTTATTTAAAAAAAAATTATTGTGTGTGTGCGTGTGTGTGTGTGTGCGGGCGTGTGCGGGCGTGTGTGTGCGCGCGCGCGCGCTGGCCACGGGTCAGAGAGCCACCGCGGGAGGAGGGTCTCCCCTCCGCCTGTGAGTGTCCGGGGATCGAACTCAGGTCGTCCGCCTTGGCGGCGAGCGCCCGCAGCCGCAGAGCCGTTCCCCGCGGCGCTCGGCCGGCGTCGGTGCGCGCTCGGACCCCCGCGGCGCCCCAGGACGGCCCCAGGCTCCCACTCGCTCGGTTTGAGCCCTTTGACCCCGTCCCCAAGGGCCGTCGGGAACGAGCCCGGGCGGGTCCCACTCGCGGCCGTTCCCCGGAGGACGTTGACGCGCGTAAACTCTAACCCGAGTCCCGAAACTCCGAGGTCACCGCCCCAAACCCTACCGTGGCCCCCCATCAGTCCCGTCTGCTGACGGGCGTCTACAACAACCATTGAGAGATAAGATCCCGCCCACCCACACCAGCGCTGACCAATTCCACCTCTGGAGCCCCGCCGAGGGGCGGGGCTTGAAGCCACAGCCCACAGCCGTTCACGTCGCTCCCTAACAGGAGCTTGCACACTCCAAGTCCCGTTGACGGGCGTCTGAGCCAACCAATGAGAACGTAGATCCCGCCTTCTGAGTTGGAACCCGAGCTGTCCAATGTCAGCTCGAGCGGCCACCCGGATCCAAATAGGCCAATCAGCGTTGGGGGGTTGAGGCGCGTTTGAGGGGCGGGGCTTAAAGCCACAGCCAACTGCCGCGCACGTCAGCTCCGCGAGGGGGGCGTGTCCGCCGTTGAGGCGTGCGACGACGGCGCGGCGCAGGGCGGTAAACAAGATGGCGGCGGCGTGTCGGTCTAGGAAAGGGGAGGCGGCTCGCGGCGTCCGCGAGTGAGGCGCGCGGAGGGTGGTGCCGGCTTGAGTTTTCCCTCGCGGACAGCATCTTTCTGCCTGGAGTTCGATTCCCCCCTCGCCGCTCCGGCCTCCTGCCTGTCGCGCGGCGGCTTGGCGGCGAGGGGGACGCGCCGCCCGGGGTGTTTTTCCCCGCATCGGTCTCCGGAAGACTCCCTGCCCCGACTCGGGTGCCTGCGGCCTGCGGGTGTCCCGGTACCCAGCGTCCGGGTGGAGGTCGCGCCCCGGGAAGTCGCGGAACTAAGGGGCCGCGCGGGGCGTCGGCGCGGGCCGGACATGGACGGCGCGGACTGGCCTCGGCGCTGCCGCCTTGGGCGCCTGAGCTCGGGGCCCGAGTGGCGACCATGACCTAGCGGCCCGCGCGCCGCGACGGCGGACCGTCGCCTCCGTCGGAAGCAGCGTCCCCGGGGACCCGAAATTGGGGGACGCGAGGGTTGGGGGGGCCTCGTTGCTTTTTTCATTCTTACTTTTATTTTCTTCCCTCCTTAAACATCTAGAAGAAAAGGGGGGGGGATCAAAAGTGGAGAATTGGCGCCCACGAAGGGGACGTGGACCCGGTTGAGGGGACCGGGAGGGTTGGGGAGGTCGGTGTTTCTTTTTCCCCTTTTTCTTTCTTGAACACTTGGAAGAAGCGGGGGGTGGGGGGTGGGATTCGAACGCGAAAAGAATTGGCTTCCCCGAAGGGGACGAGGACAAAGACTGGGCCAGGATGGACGTGGCGGACCCCCAGCCGCTGGGACTGTTCCCCGAGGGCGAGCTGATGTCGGTGGGCATGGACACCTTCATCCACCGCATCGACTCCACCGAGGTGATCTACCAGCCGCGCCGCAAGCGCGCCAAGCTCATCGGCAAGTACCTGATGGGGGACCTGCTCGGAGAGGGCTCGTACGGCAAGGTGAAGGAGGTGCTGGACTCCGAGACCTTGTGCCGCAGGGCAGTCAAGATCCTCAAGAAGAAAAAGCTGCGCAGGATCCCCAATGGCGAGGCCAACGTCAAGAAGTAGGTGCCAAGGGCCTGGGGCCGGCTCTGCGCTGTCTTGAGCTTTTGGGCAGCCCTTCCTCCTTCCTCTCTACTTCCTGGCTCTTCTCTTTCCTCCCCTCTTCCCCTTCTCATTTCCTTCCTCTTCCTCTCCTCTCTCTCCCACTATCCGTCTATCCCTGAGCGTCACCGCGTGGGGACAGTGTGCTGGGGGAGCCCTCAGGACTGCCCTAGGGGGAACGTCGTGTGGCCGACTGCACGTCCAGCCCTCCTCTTTCGGCCGGGTCTTGGGGCGGGCCGGGCCTGGCTTCCTTGGCGGGCGTTGCCAGGCGGGTGGCTAGTTTGTTTACGGAGTCAGGGAACCGGTGGGGCCAAAAATAATGGTGAACACAGGCTGGAGGGTGGGGGGAAGGCAGGAGGTAGCTAGCCAGTGCTGGCGCGGGTCCCTGCGGTGTCCTGCGTGGTTGGCGTCGCTGGGCCGTGGACTCTTTATCGCCTGCTCGGCTTGGCAGAACTTGGGAAACTTCACCTACTGGCTTCCAAGAAGGGGCCTTATCTGTGGGGCCAGCACTGGCGGGGATTCTCTGCCTGGCTGGTGACCTTGCCTGTGGTCCTGTCCCAGGAAAGACTGGGAGCTCCTTGTTTTCGCCAGCTGGGCACTGCTCTTGAGTGGCACTCACAGGGCGGTGGGCAACTCCCGGGGAGCAGGTGTGTGCACCCAGCTGGTGGAGCCGAGCAGGCTGGTGTCCTGGGCTAGCCTCGGACCTACTTGGCTTCTTGTGTAGGAGTGGCCCTGGTCAGTCGGGACCTGAGGGTGTTCCTCCAAGTGGGAGCCGCTAGAGGCCAGAGACCTGAGCTGGGGAAAACCTGATTCCAAATCACTGTCTTCTGAAGGTGGAGGTGCCGCAGACTGCTCACCTTACTGCTGGTGGTGTCTGCTGGTCCCCAAGCAGCCCTCCCAGGTCTTCAGCCCCCTTGGCTTCAGGACAGTGGCCCTTGGGAGCCCACTGAGTCTGACTGCCCAGGCCTGCATCCTGGCTTGAGGTCAGCAGCGCCCCCTGTGCACACAGCGGCCCGCGTGCTGTCCGTGCCTGTGACTGAGGGCTCCACAGCTCTGCCCGTGAGTGCGAAGCCCTCACCTGCTACGGCAGATTTTATGCCGTCTGTACCTGATCTTGCCCGGCCAGGGTGTGGCTTGCAGAGCCAGGCAGGTGCAGGTGAGAGAAGTGGGTCTGTCGTCCCTGAAGTGGCCCCACCCGAGTTAGTGGGGAGGCCTGGGAGTGACAGTGTCACGTGGGAGCTCAGAGGACCCTTGGACACAGTCTGCCGGAGGCCACCAGCTCCCAGACGCCTAGGGTGCTGCTGTAAGGAGCTGGGACTGCTCCTCAGGAGCGGGGGAGACTGAGGCAGGAGAATTGCTTCAGGTTTTAGACCAGCCAGGGATTCAGAGCTAGACCTGTTCTCCTCAGGAAAACCCGGGCTGGCAAGACAGCTCAGTGGGACGGCCTGGGAGCGCACAGTGGGAGCACCCAGCGGGAGCACCCAGCTCCGTGTGTGCGCCGTGCACAGCACATGTGCACATACAAGCCACAAGCCAGGAGAGTCGGAGCCAGAATGGCAGACTGTCTGTCTGGCAGACTGCCCCCAACTGAGGTCCTCACATGGGATGACCCAAGGCCAGGCGTCTGACGGAGTGCCGGTGTGGCCGCGTTGCCTGAGTGGCTCTTGCAGAGGGAACCCTGAGGTCATGGGCACCTGCCTGTGTGACCCACACAGAGTCACAGCCTGGAAGGGGCAGTGTGGCTGACAGCTGGCCCAGTCAGAAAGGCCCCTTTGTTTTCAGGAGCTTAATAAACTCCACTCAAGCTGTCTCTCATGGTGAAGTGTCCGGAACCTTCCAGACCCAGTCTGCCTGCAAAGCTTTCTCCTTCCAGTAGATACTGTGGATGCCTGCCAAGGCGTGGGGCAGTGTGTCGCCTCCCTCCCTGGGAAGGCTGTGAGGACCTACTGCTCCTCTGTGTGCTGGGGATGTCCTGCTCCGGCCTGACCCGAGCCCACAGGCCTTGCTGCCTGGTGCTTGTGAATGGACACACTTCTGAGACCTGCCGGCAGGACAGGTTGAGGAAGCGCAATCCCCACCCCCCTGTGGCACAGACGGGACTCTCCGCCTGTGTTGTCTGTATGCTGCAGTCTAGGGCATGAACCTGGTGACGCTCCCCAGAGGATGGGCAGCCCGGAGAAGGCATTTCTGTGTCCACTTCTCGTTTGTTTTTTTCTTGTGTATGTGTGTGTATGTGTGTGTGCATGTGTGTGCTTATAAGTATGTGTTTGTGTGTGTGTGTGTTTTTAATTTATTTTTTATTTCATGTGCGTTGGTGGTTTGCCTGCATGTCTGTCTGTGTGGGGTGTCAGGTCCCCTGGAACTGGAGTCACAGACAGTTGTGAGCTGGAAATTGAACCCGGTCCTCTGGAAGAGCTATCAGAACTCTTAACCGCTGAGCTGTCTTTCCAGCCCCCAAAATTTTATATTTGTGTTGTTGACGTGTTCGTTTCAGGTTTGCTTTTATGCATGTGTGTATGTGGGATAGGTGGGTGGGAATGGGAATGCTTATGTATTTGGGTGCCTGTAGAGGCCAGAAGAGGGCGTTGTTCCCCAGAGCTGGACTTGGGAGCTGACTAACGTGGTGCTGAGAACTGAACTCAGGTCCTCTGCGAGAGCCAAAAATATTCTTAATCATTTTGAGTGTTTTGAGATGTCTCAGGTAGCCCAGGCTGGCCTCAGATTTGCTGTGTAATTAAGGATGACCTTGTACCTCTTGAGTGGGGGGATGGCAGCTGTGTACTACCATGCAAGGCATTCATTCTGCTTCTCTGAGGTAGGGTCTCGCCATAATGCTTCACCTTGAGCTCCGGGCCTCAAGGGCTCTTCCTGCTTCTGCATATGTGTGCCAGGCACACACACTGTGGGGTTGCTCTCTGCCAGCCGCAGGTTGTGGATGGTCAGCTGTGGCTGTGGGGTCCCCGTGCCTCTTCTCCCAGTCCACTCAGGTACTGGGGGGCTCCTGCTGGCTCGTGTCCCTGACCCCCTTCAGTCCTCCTTGCCTATGGTAGTTTGCCCTCAGGCAAGTGTTTAGGGCTGAAGGCCCTGCTGCCCAAAGCAGGTCCTGGCAGTGTGGCCCATGCTTAGCTGAGCGGCGTGGCCTTTGCAAAGTGCCTGACCACCAGGTCTCCTTGGGGACGGGGAGCACCTGCTTGGGCAGAGCGGCCTGTGCTGGATGGCCGCTGGCCAGTAGGGATGGGGGGTGGGCGGTGTGCTCAGCTGTTGGGTGTCGCCGCCATGTCCGGATCTGCACCTGTCTGTGTTCTTGGGGCCATGGGAGGTGCTGGAGGCTCTCCAGGGACAACTGGAGGCCGCCTCATGGTGACTGGCGGGCTCTGGGATGCGATGCGGGCTGCGCATAGCTGGGATGCTGGCGAGGTGAGAAGTGGTGCCCTGGACATTGTCTGCTTTCAGCCCTCAGCTCACAGACGTCCAGAGCACGCTTGACAAGCTGCTCCTGCTGCCGGCCTGAGGGACGGCGCTTCCAGGCTGCCTGTGTGCCCTCACCTGCGCCATGGCCCCTGTGGGTCACTTTGTGAGTTTGTGCGGATGTTAGAGGGCAGCCTCAGGCATTCTCTCTGAGGTGCAGTCCACCTTACTTCAGATTGTGACCTGGAGGAAGGTGACTAGGCTGGTGTGCTCACAGTGTGCACCCCACACTCAGGTCTTTATGGGTGTGGGGGGATTGAACTCGGGTCCTTGTACTCGCTTGTTAAGATTTCCTGTCTCCCCAGTCCACTGTTAGCCACTTTCCTTGTCAGGGAAGTGATGCTTCCAGAGAGGGAACCGTGTGGTCCACAGAGCCAGTGCTGGGCCGCCTGCACACTGGACTGGGGGTGGGGTGGGGGCGTGGACCGCTCCGGCACCTGCTGAGAGGGCGGAGTCACAGCACAGCGTTCAGGACGCTGCATCTGCTGTGGTTCCCTGCTTAACTTCAGTGCTGGGGTGGAGCCAGGGCCTGGCATGCGCAAGGCGGGTGCCCTGTCACCGAGCTCTGCTACCTTGAGGGCTGAGTCGGCTTGGCGTCTCCCCTCCTAAGCGGTGCAGGAGTGCCCGTGACTGAGGCCTGTGTTTGTCAGCTCCAGGAGTTTGTGGTCGCAACTTGGGTAGTTGGCCAAAGGGCAGGCTGTGCATCCTGCCTGGGCCTGGCCTGGGCTGCCCAGAGGAACTAGCGGAAGGCACTTCCTGCCTGCCTGTGCTCCACTGCGCTTAGCTTGCTTCCTGTCTCCTCCAGCGCCACTGTACAACGCCACGGCTTCTCTGAGCTGTCATTTTGTGTTTCTGAGCAGAGGCTCTCTCTGTAGCCCATGCTGACCTGCAGCTGCCTCTGCTTTACCTCAGACAACTTGTATGTGTGCAGCGCAATGTCCACTCCCCTTTCCTGCCTTTCGTGGTTACTTACAAGAAACTCTGAACATGGGGTGGGTGGTTCGGGACCCTGCCTGGGCCCTCAGGCTGCCTCAAGTGCTTTCCTCTGGGTAGGAGTGGGCACTGGGTTCTTGGTCAAGGTCTTAGACATTTGACCAGTGAGCCTCATACAAGCAGTAAGTTTTTCTTTACCAAAACTTTTATGTGCCAGGTGGCGGTGGCACACGCCTTTAATCCCAGCACTCAGGAGGCAGAGGCAGGCGGATCTCTGTGAGTTCGAGGACAGCCTGGGCTACAGAGTGAGATCCAGGACAGGCTCTAAAACTCCACAGGGAAACCCTGTCTTGGGGGACGGGACAACAACAACGTTATGTACATGAGCGTTCTGCCTGTGTGCTGTGCTCCTAATGCATATAGCACCTGTAGAAACGAAGAGGGCATCAGGTCCCCGGGCACTAGAGTGCTCTAGGGTTGTGACCGCTGTGTAGGTGGCAGGAATTGAACTTGGGGCACCGGGAGAGCTCGTACCTGGTGAGCCGTCTCTCCAGCTCTAGGTTTTTTTGAAACGGTGTTTTTTTTTTTTTTTTTTTTTTTTTTTTTTTTTTTTTTGGTTTTTCGAGACAGGGTTTCTCTGTGTAGCTTTGCGCCTTTCCTGGAACTCACTTGGTAGCCCAGGCTGGCCTCGAACTCACAGAGATCCGCCTGGCTCTGCCTCCCGAGTGCTGGGATTAAAGGCGTGCGCCACCACCGCCCGGCTTGAAATGGTGTTTTACTATGAACGTTGCCCAGGCTGGCCTCAGACTCATGGTCCACCTGCTTCAGCTTCCTAGGTGTAGGAATTAGAGGTGTGTGCACCATGCCCAGTCATCGGGATGCTGTGATCTGTGTATCACTTGTCTCCTTGCTGTCACCCAGCACCTGACAGGCCGCAGGAGAGGACGGGTTTGCAGGCATAATTCTTCCCTGTAGGGAGGCACAATAGACCATGGTGGCTAGCTTTAGGAATGTAATCTGTTTAGCAAGGAAGAGGGAACGAGGGAGAAGGGCAAGGCCTGCTAAAGCCATGCTCGCCCTGCTCAAGCTGGCTAGAGTCCCTTCACTCATCTCCCCACCCCAGACAGGGAGTCCACGACAGACCAAAGTGCAGATCCCACCAAAGTCCAGCATGGTGGACCGATGTGTTTCATGGGCACTTCCAGGAGTGTGGTGAGGGGTCACTCCCAGGAGTGTGGTGAGGGGTCACTCCCAGGAGTGTGGTGAGGGGTCACTCCCAGGAGTGTGGTGAGGGGTCACTCCCAGGAGTGTGGTGAGGGGTCACTCACAGGAACAGAAGTGACTTCACTAAAGCCCGACCCAGTATGGTGACAACTCACAAAAACTGGGGCACACTGCACAGCCTGCAGGCATGTGACAAGTTGGAGAGTGGCCTTTCCAAGTGACTTGGGTTCTAAACCTCTTCAGGCAGCCCAGCTGGTTTTTGTGTCTTCCAGACAGGCTGCTGGTCTCAGTGGCATTATTGATCACTCTGTGAGGGAGAGGCCTAGTGCATTTGGTCAGTTTCAGGGACTTCCGGAAGTTTTTTTTCCCCCTCCCTCGAGACAGGGTTTCTTTGTGTAGACCAGGCTGTCCTCAAACTCGCCAAGATCCGCCTGGCTCTGCCTCCTGAGTGCTGGGATTAAAGGCGTGCGCCACCACCGCCTGGCCCGGCTACTTATTTATTTTTAAAACACGGTCTCTCTGCATAGTTTTGGCTGTCCTGGAATTCACTTCGTAGGGCAAGCTGGCCTCAACCCAAAAGCTCTCCGCGTGCCTCTGCCTTCTGAGTGTCGGGGTTAAAGCATGGCCGGTTCTTAGTGCTGTAGGCGATGTCATGGCCCAAGTTCTCTCCAGGCAGGTGCCCCACCAAGCCTGCTCTGCTGGGCTGGACTGTGTCTCCTAGACACAGTCCACCTACAGAGATGCCAATACATGCTTCCTGCTGAGGAGAACTGAAGTCCAGAGGTACTCTCAGACCACGGCTCCCTCAAGGGCTTCAGGTGGGTGGGTAGGCAGGGTTCTTGGAGACCTCATCCCACATTCTCCTAAGGTCCATGAGTGCAGAACTATGACCTACTGAGACCCTTGGGTGAGTTTCTAGTGTTGACTGGAAGCAGGGATCCTCCTCCACACTCTGATGTTTCTGTAGCTGGGACAAGCCTTAAATGCTTCTTTTATTTTTATGGGGGACCAGCCCCCACACTTATTTACTCCAGGAACTCTTGAGGATTGAGGGATAAGAGACTTAGAAGTAGAGAGGAAGAGAAACAGATAGAAACACAGGATAGACTCAGGTGGGCCTGGATCCTTACCCACCAGCCCAGAACTTTATTCCAAAGGTCTATTTATAGCAATGCCAAGGGGTGGAGCAAAAGACCTCCCCCTGCTAGTTACAGTCACCTGGTGCCCAGGCCCGTGGTCCAGTCAACCTACCATGCAGTCCTGCAGGGTACAGCCACTAGGAAACCTAGTGGGCTCCAACACACTTTTTAATGTAAAGTATCTTTTATGTGTATGTGTGCATGACTGACAGTATGTATGTGCACCATATGCATGCATTAGCCTGTGGACATCAGAAGAGGCCATCAGACCCCCTGGAGCTAGAGTTACAGAGGCTTGTGAGCTGCCGTGAACCTGAGTCCAGTGCAAGAGGTCCTAACCGCTGAGCCATCTCTCCAGCCCCTGGCCCTAGACTCTTGGTCGTCCCCTGCCTTAGCCTCCTGAGGAGCTGTGATGACAGGCCTGGCTGGCTGGTTCTCTGTGGTCTTAGGCAGTCACACTGCCCATGTGCAGCTGAAGGGCCCTGGCTAGGAGTGCTGGGGTCCAGTGGCCTGCAGGCACACACCCCCAGATGACACTGAGCCCAAGGAGTTGATGGACCCTTGGAGGTCAGGTTCTCGGTGCTGGGGGCCTGAAGGGTGGTTAGTTGTGTCCAGGGACATTGGTGAAGCTCCTTGGTCCCTGAGAAGGAACCTCTGCTTGCTGCTGTGCAGAACCCAGAATGGGTGGAGCTCACCCTAAGGTAGTAGCATGCTCAAGACTCAAGCCTGGAGAGGTGGCTTGGCGCTGCCCTGCAGGCATGCTCTGTTAGCTGGGAATGGGGTGGTGCTCCAGGAGGGTGCACAGCACATGTGTGTAATGTCCTGAGGTGGGGCTGGAGCCACTGTGTGGTACCAAGGGGTGTTGGGGAGCACTGTCCATGATAGGAGCAATGGCTGTCATCGCTGGGGAAGCTCTGGGTGTGGGGAATGTGGAGGACTCTGCAGAGCACTAGACTCCCCTAGAGAACAGCCTGTGTGGTACCTTGGTACCTAGGGAGTGAAATTTTAACTGCAGAGAGGGCAGTGTGGCCCTGGCCCTCTGCAAGGCAGCTGATGGTTACATCTGGAAAGGTGGAATGTCGCCAGCCTTGCCAACTGGTGCGTGTGCGTGCTGCTGGCCTAGCCTCTGTTAGAGGGTGGCCCCTAAGCCCGAGAGTGATCTGGGAGTGGCTGCCCTATCCTGGGAGCCCATGGCCTCGTGCTTGGTCCTCCGCCTGGCCCTTCCTTTGTGACTGACTGTGTTGTGCATAGCACCCAGAAGACTGTGTCCTGGCTGCCCGTGAGTAGGTGGGCCGGCTCTGTAGGGCACAGCTGTCAGCTGATTGAGCTCAAGTGTCCCCTCTGCTCTGATTGGCATCTGTACGATGACCATTGGTCTCTGTCATGGTGGTGTCCACTGATATGCTGGGCATGGCATCTGCCTCAACTCCCACCTTCCTAGTGGGCTTCAAGCCCTGCCCTTGTAACAGTCCCTGCTGTGATATGTGGGGACATCTGGATGGAAGTCTTGATTCTAAAGCATCAGTGACTGCCTGGAACTCAGTGTGGAAGTGGGGAGCTGGTAGGGTCTGGGGGTTAGCATCTTTGAGGTGGCTTCCCAAGAACCCCAAACCGGGTGCTGTGGTTTCCTAATGCCTATGCCTCTGTGGTACCTTTAGGTGGCTCACGGTAGTCACTTCTAGTTTTATGTTTGTGGCCCCTGGGGACAGGATGAACTAGGACTGAGCTCCAAGGCCTCTCTTGTAACCACTTGAGGAAGGACAGTGGTGGTGTCCCACTAGCCCCAGCATGCCCCTCAAGGCCCTGCATGTCCATCAGCCTGGGTGGGCACTGTTGAATTGGCCCCGGGGTAAAAGCACAGCACTCAGAGCAGAGTACCTCTTCCCCTGCAGCTTGTGACCTGGCCAGGGGAGGACACGTAGAGCATAGGATGGATGCCCAGTGGGCTGTGCCCAGGGAGAGGTCTGGAAGAGGTGGGGCCTGGGGCAGTGAAGACGGGCCAGGGGGGAACGCTTGGACCTCGCTGAGCGTGTTGGTAAGCTGCAAACCAAACTGGAGAGGAGATCATGCTGCAGGCCGGCCTCATGGAGAATGTGCATAGTGTAGCTCTCCCCACCGTTGTTCCACAGCGTGCCATCAACCTGAAGACAGCCCCCACGAGCGGTCCACCCCAGCCACACCCCTCTGTCTCTGGATTGACTTGTTCTGGATGTTTCCTACCATGAAGGCCCACACTATGTGGCCTTTTGTGACTGGGTCTCTCACTGGGCCTGATTGACAAGTGTCAGAGCCTTGCTGCTGTTCACACTGGTGTGATACTTCATGTGGTGGGCCCTGTTGCTTGTGTATCAGTGTGTGGATCCTGGCCTGTGCCTTTTGGTTGCTGGGAGCGTTCTGTGTATAAGGCTGTGACGGGTACTGTGTGTGCACTTGGTGGTGGAGTTTCTGGTGTTGGGGTGCTGTGCTACTGTCCAGGCATGAGCTAAGGGAAGCCTCTGTGACTGGCCAGCAGCCTCATCAACCTGTTGGACAGCGGCTCTCATTATGTGGGCCAGTGCCTTCCTTGCCGGCACCGTGGTGGCTGTCCCTGCTGCTGCCAGTCTCTGAGCTGTCCTTGAGCACAGCTGGGGGACATCCAGGTTCATGAGGTGGACCGTCCTTGGGAGAAGCCCCTGTGGCCCTGTCATAGCCCAGCTCCAGGCACACTCGGTGCTATGCCTGTGTCACTTAACATGTTGGCTTTTATGAAGCAATCCCAGTGTCCTCGTGGTCCTGGGGTGGAACCAGGTGTCACAGGCGAGCAGGAGGCGTGACCCCACCTTCCCCATGTCCAGTATGTTCCCAGATGGGCAGCTTCACAGTAGGCACGGTCAGCTGAGCAGTGTCCTCTGTTACAGGGAGATCCAGCTGCTGCGGCGGCTGCGGCACCGGAATGTGATTCAGCTGGTGGACGTGCTGTACAATGAGGAGAAGCAGAAGATATATCCTGTGGGGTGGAGCGGGGTGTGGTGGGCCCTGTGTGTGGTAGGGAGTGGAAGCCCTGTATAGCCAGCGCCTCTGACTGCAGCTCACTTCTGCATGTTGTCCTGTGGTGCCTGGCACCTTAGCAGACAGGATGAGCAGGGCATGGAGCTCTCATCTTGTGCCAGCCTGGTCTGGCCTCTGGCTGGAGCTGGGCACCGTCTCGGGTACCTGGAGCTCACATGCACTGGCAGTGCCTTCGTTTGGTGGTCTCCCTGCTGCCCTTCCCGGGGCAGAGTCTGCACAACCTGCTCTGCATCTGGGCGGTCCTGGGAGCACAGAGAGAGCCAAATGCCTGTAGTTGGCTGCACCCCGACTCCGGGCACCCCTTCCCCCTGCTGTGGCGAGTAGACTAGCCCATTCTGGTCCTGCTGTGTCCTATGCTGACTCCATGTGGTCCAAGGCAGTGCAGATGTCTTCACTGCCTCAGTGGCCTCGGGTCTCAGGGCGTTGCAGACTGCTGCTGCTAGGGCTCCTGGGGCCTGGCACGTGCTGCTTTCCTTAGCGCCCTACGTATATGGTGATGGAGTACTGCGTGTGTGGCATGCAGGAGATGCTGGACAGTGTGCCGGAGAAGCGCTTCCCCGTGTGCCAGGCCCATGGGTGAGTGCCCTGCTAGGTGCAGGAGGGGCAGCCAGCACTTCCTGCAGCTCATGATAGCCATTGTCAGGAAAACCCGGATGTTTCTGGGCCCCCAGTTTTCAGGCCAGCCAATGTGCTGGGGTCTCCCTCCTGTTAGGCCCTGTGGGCCCACTGCCCTGCAGAACCTGACTCTGCGGTCCCCCAGTCTCAGCAGAGTCACGGCCCTGGTTGGCACAGAACCAAGGGAAGGGGAAGCCAAAGGGGAGGCTTGGCACCCTGCGCCTGGGAACCCGTGACAGTAGTTGCCCCGTATAATTCCCAATGGGCTCAGGCCTTCTGACTACCAGATCTGTTGACCTGAATCCCAAACGCCTGTCCCCTTGTGGGCTAGGCCTGGCGACTTTCCCAGATGGCGTAGCAGGCTTGTGTAGGCACCTTGGTATGGGCTGAGACCCTGTGGGGCTGAGCCAGTCCCACCCATCCAGGTACTTCCGCCAGCTGATTGACGGCCTGGAGTACCTGCACAGCCAGGGCATTGTGCACAAGGACATCAAGCCGGGCAACCTGCTGCTCACCACCAATGGCACGCTCAAGATCTCCGACCTGGGTGTTGCCGAGGTAGGCACCGTGTGCAGGGCTCCCGGGCTACTTCTCCTGAGCACCCCTGACTCTCACTGCCCTGCAGGCCCTGCACCCCTTCGCTGTGGACGACACCTGCCGGACAAGCCAGGGCTCCCCGGCCTTCCAGCCGCCCGAGATCGCCAACGGACTCGACACCTTCTCAGGTTTCAAAGTGGACATCTGGTCAGCTGGGGTCACACTGTAAGTGTCCTGTGCCCTGCAGCAGATGGGGAACTGCAGGTTTTCTCTAGTGTCCTTGGGCCTCTATCCACAGTGTGTGGCCAGCAGGTTGGACATTCCAGGTCTCTGGGTGTAGTTTCCCTCCACACACCACCCCACAGGCTTTGCTCCATGTAGGGTGCTGTGGCTGCACGTCTCCCGGTTAACACTTATCCTCTCTGGGAGTTGGGCACCTGGCCTCTAGTCTCAGGTGTGGCATGCACTGACACTGCCCTCTTATGTGAAGCTACAACATCACCACGGGCCTGTACCCATTCGAGGGAGACAATATCTACAAGCTGTTTGAGAACATCGGGAGAGGGGACTTCACCATCCCCTGTGACTGCGGCCCACCGCTTTCTGACCTGCTCCGAGGTGGGTATCTTCCTGGTGATAGGAGGGTCACCTGCATGCCAGGACAGTTGGGGGCAAAGCCCCTGGTCTGGGGGGTGCAGAGTCAGCTGGACTCTCTTGCAGTCCCTCGGTAGCCAGAGATGGCAGTGGGATGCAGCCAGTGGCCTGACTTGACTGATGAACAGCCCCTGCCTGCTGGCATGGGAGGTCTCTGGGACTCCGTTTCCCCGGTGTCTGCAGGGAACGCAGGGGTGTCTTGTGCGTCCTGGGCTCTGCAGCAGGTGGCACTGGCGTCAGCTTTGATGGCCCCATCCAGGGGAGTCTCAGTGCTGTGCCCAGGCTGCCTGCTGCTGTTTCACGGGCCTAGAAAGGATGGATGGTGGGCGGGGCTGCGGCACGGAGAAGGCGGGACCCGGCGCACTGACCCTTCCGTTACACAGGGATGCTGGAGTATGAGCCAGCCAAGAGGTTCTCCATCCGACAGATCAGGCAGCACAGGTGAGCGCCCCCACTGCCCACCTGCTGGGTGCTGGGTGGTCACAGGAGTGAGGAGGCGTGGGCACGTCCGCTGCTGGCCTGAGGAGGTGCAGTGTGATCTTGGGGTATGAGGGAGGGTTGCTGGCTCTGCCTCCCTCCTGGTACCCAGTGCAGGCAGGGGTGAGAGCCCTCCAGCACCCTTGTCGCAGACCCCCTCCCTCCCTCTACCGTCCTGGGGAGGGGTGCGGGCGGCTGTGTGGCAGATCCTCCGTGGTGGAGGACGTGGCTGGAGTAGATGGGAGAGCACGGCAGGCCTTGCCGGACTCCAGGGAGGTGTCCCTCTGGGCCCCAGCTGCCCTTTGACCCGGTGGAGCCTGGCCGTCTGGGCATGGGTACAGCCAGGGAAGCAGGAGGCCGGAGCCTCTGTCCTGTTGTTCACTCGCTCAGGGGCAGGCCCTGGGTCCTGGCGGCTGGGGGCCCGCCCCGTCTGTCGTCCCCGTGCCCGTTGTCACCTCCATGCGGGGCTGAGACCGGCCTGCAGGGCGTTCCCCAGGGAGGGCCCTGCCTGTCCACTCCGGTCCAAGGAGCTGTGGCTGCTAATGTAAAGTGCGCATGGCAGGACCCCTGGACCCCGTTGCTGAGACCTGAGGCCCTGCCCTCCACGAGGGCCACCGTGGTCACCGAGCACCTGGCACCTGATGGCTCTACTGCACTTGGGCTTTTGCAGCTGGTTCCGGAAGAAACACCCACTGGCTGAGGCGCTCGTGCCCATCCCCCCGAGCCCAGACACTAAGGACCGTTGGCGCAGTATGACAGTGGTGCCCTACCTGGAGGACTTGCATGGCCATGCCGGCGAGGACGAGGACGAGGACTTGTTTGACATTGAGGATGGCATCATCTACACCCAGGACTTCACGGTGCCTGGTGAGCTGGCTTGGCTGGGTCACCCCGGAGCTGGCACCTTTGTGCTCTCTGGGGCTGGTCCTTTCCCCAAGGCTCCAGTCTGACCTGAGCCACCAAACTGCCAAAGCCATCCTGGTGGCCGGCATTCCATTCTGGGCTAGCTGAAGGGCTCCCTGGGCCCCGGCTACAGCTTCTTATGGCCTCGCTGGCTGCGTGTAGCAGGAGGAGGGGGACCCTGGAGGGCAGTGGGCAGGTGCCCTGAGACAGCTACGTGAGGGAGGGTCCAGTGGCCCTCAGTCCTGGCCATGCCTGACCTTGTACCGCCTTCTTCCCCAGGTGTCGAAGAGGCGGCCGAGGCAGGGCTTAGCGAGGATGCATGCGCCACATGCATGTTGAAGAGCCAGGGCGCAGGCCTTCCTGGAGAGGAGCCCGAGGAGGGGCTCGAGGCCTTAGTGTAGCTCCCCGGCTGCCGCCCCGCCCATGTCCTCCATAAAGCGTTGTCCACTGTGTCTGCAGGTGGATGCTTGCCGCGACTGCCCTTCCCTGTCACTGCCCTGGCAGGCCCCCACCAGGGATCACAGAGCATACCCAGGTCCAAGGCCTGAGCCAGGCCCTCAGCACCAAGGCTGCCACTGGCTAGGGCTCTCAGGACCCTTGGCCTTGTGCCCCTCAGGCCGGCCCTACTGAGAGGCAGCTCCTGGCCCTTCAGACAGTTGTGTGTATGGGAGGGCGAGGCCCTTGGCCCCTGTGTTGTCCCTGGAGCATTTGAGGGTTCTGGAAGCAGTGCCAGCTGGGACCCTGGTGTTCAGGATAGGCCCTGGCCACAGTCCTCCTAAGAGTGTCTTCTGCTCAGACAGTGAGGGCCCTGTCACTGCAGCCTTTGCCGGGAATGTTTGCCACAGGCTAGGCCCTCAGGCAGGGCTGTCACCTGGCAGGGCTCCGTGTGGGCTCCTTGTTGGGGGCGGTGTGCACTTAGGACACTGACTTCATCTTGGGGACCCCTGGGGTTGCTATAATTTGAAGGAAGGCGAGGACGGAGGGAGGGGTCTGGGGACACTGCCTTGTGTCTGGGTGGCCATGGGGCCCATATCCCCTGGGACAGTGCTGTACAGATAGTGCTGTGTGCACATGGCAGGACTCTGGACAGCCTCTACTCCTGGCATGAGGGCTGTGCTCTGAACAACAGGACAAGGGGGCCTTGTACCTCCCAGTGCCTGGTGGGGAGGGATTGCCGGCTGCAGGGTCCACCCCACCTCATGCCTCCGTCCAGCACAGTGAGGGCCAGGGTGGGTGCTGCCCGTTTGGGCCGAACCAGAGGTTTGGGGAGAGGGACTCTGGATCCAGGAGCACAGGTGGGGCCTCTGTGGGGTTCCCATCGCTGCACCGCAAGCACCTGGTGGCTGTGTAGTTACATGCTAGAGGCTGCCCACTTCTGAGGAGCTTCGGGAGAGGCGACCTATCGCCACCGTGAAGGAAGGCCAGCTGAGCAAGCTAGGCCTATAGCCCCCAGCTGGACGTTCTCCCCATGCGCAGAGCAGCTAGTAGCCCCCAGCTGAGTGCTTCATCTCCATGGGCCTGTTGTGGGTCTAGAGCCTGGCTCACTTGGAGAGCTCTGTGAGCTGGTGCTTGGGCTGCCCAGGCTAGACAGGCAGGTGAGCATGGGTGTGCCGCAGGGGGGCCAGGGCACACCACTGGAAGGCTGGGCCTGGCCGGCCAGGCCTTTGGAGCCACTGAGGGACAGCGCTGGAGGCCAGAAAGCACAGCCTGACCAGCCTCTGGCACAGTCGGGGCTGGCTGGGCCCTGGGGCTTTGGGTTGCCTGTCCCTTGGCTCAAGCCATGCCCGCCATCTTCCCGCAGGACAGGTCCTAGAAGAGGAAGCAGGTCAGAACGGACAGAGCCGCAGCCTGCCCAAAGCTGTGTGTGTGAACGGCACAGAGCCCCAGCTCAGCAGCAAGGTGAAGCCAGAAGGCCGGCCCGGCACGGCCAACCCTGCTCGCAAGGCGTGCTCCAGCAACAAGATCCGCCGGCTCTCGGCCTGCAAGCAGCAGTGACTGCGGCCTGCAGGTGGGCGCAGGGCCAGGACCGAGAGTCCCCGCTTGGTGCTCAGTGGGTGTCTGCTGTGCTCCTGGCTCCGCTCCTTGGGGCGGAGTTCCCCTGGTTCCATGGGGCAAGGTCAGGTGACTGAGGCCACAGCCCTTAGAAGGGTCTGACCCCTCAGGGGTGGCGTGTACCTCCCTGCAGGGGCCGGATGCTGAGTGACCCCTTCTACCTGCAGTGTGTCCCCAGGTTCCCTGGGCAGGTGCCCCGGCAAGGCTGCGGTTTTCGGGCCCACCCATCTGGACACTCGGAGGTTGGAGCCGAGGGTGGACCCGCCGCCCCAGAAGCACTTTATGTCGAGACCACTGGCCGGCCTCGCCCGCATGCCGCCCCGCGAGCCTCGCTGTCTTTGGGTTGGTCCCTTTTTTTAATAAAACAGGTGGATTTGAGCAATGGCTGTCAGGGTGTTTGGAGCCGACGGGGTGCAGGGTGGCCTGCAGAGAAAACCCAGAGCAAGCGATATGCAGAGACATTTATGATCAACCAGACAGCACGACTACCCGTGGAGGGCGCAGGGCAGGGAGTGGGCGGGCACTCACGGCGAGGCCGCCCTCTATTTTGGCAATAAATAAAGCTTGGGAAACTTGAAGCTGCCGCCTGGGCTGTTCTGTCCGTGTGTCCGAAGCCCAAGGCTCTTGAGGAGGAGGGACAAGTGGGGCCTGTGCACATGCTGAGAGCGGGAGCAGCGGTTATTGCTCGGAGACGGGGGTATGGGTGCCGCGAGAGCACACACCATAGTGAGGTAAACGGAGTCAGGGGTCGGGGCGGCCAGCTCCTCTGATCCTCGGTGCCCCATGGTCCCTTCGCCTCCAGTAGGTTCACGCATGCGTATGGCCGGCAATGGCACCGCCAGCACGTGCTAACCAATGGAGGGAGGCTGCGCATGCGCTTCAGAGCAACCCGCCCCACCGGCCTCCAGGCCGGGTGCTATGGTCGGCCGAACGGGGACCCGAGAGTCGGAACTCTAGGCCCTCCTTGCAGCTGGGCCAGGGTCCTGGGGCCCCGCTGCGCCCGCTAAGTGCCCACGGGACACCGCAGTCGGGGTCGGGCCGCGTGCGCGCGCGCACGGCAGCCCAGGTCTCTCCCGCCGTCGCCGCCATCCCCGCAGCGGCCCCGCGGGCCCGGAGAGGCTGCCGAGAGGAGGGTCGAGTGCACGGAGCTTAGGCCGGGCTGTGGTCGGGGGACGTGGGGGCAGCAGCAGCGGCGATCAGCACCGGGGAAGAGGCAACTGGCCCGGCGAGGTGCGGAGCGAAGAGTCTGTCGTCCAGGCTGGCCGCCAGCTTGTCCAGCAGCGCCCCGGCGGGCTCGGCGCACAGCCCGGGGCCCAGGCAGCCACCGCTCCCGCCGCCAGGCTCCTCCTCGATGACCGGAATGGACGGGTCGTCGCCCGTGCTCGGCAGTGCGCGGCCTTCGGGAGGACAGTCGACGCTGTCGCCGCGGCGCAAGGGCGCACGCGCGGGACGGGCCGCGCCGGGGGGCGTGGCCGCGCGTGCGCCGCCAGGGTCGCTGTGCTGGCGGCCTCTCTGCTGCCACTGCTTGCGCGCATGGGCGTGAGGGTGCGCACGTGCGCGGTGGCGTGGCGCGTCGTCGAAGTGCGGGTCGTGGCGCAGGAACTCGTGGAAGAGCGCGTCCGTCTTCTCGTCGATGCTGTAGTCGCGGCGCGGCCTGCGCGGCCAGGCCCGCGGGCTGCGGGGAGGGCTGCGGGCCTGAGCGGGAAGTTCGGAGGCCTCGTCGCCCGCGCCGCGCCCCTCGATGCTCGCATACCCGCTGTCCATCTGCAGCAGGCGGCGGGCTTCGCCGTCCTTAGGCCTCAGAGCGGGCGGAGACTCGGGCGGGGGTGGGAAGGCGGGTGCCGCGCCGCCACCCCCGGAGCCCGAGCCCGAGCTGTCGCCGCTGCGCACCGAGTCGCGGTCATTGCCGCTGCTGCTGTGGTCCGATGCAGTGGCCGCGTGGAGCTCGAGTGAAGCGCGAAGGCTCCACAGGTCACGGTAGCTGCACTGTGCATGCTCGGCGTCCTGCTCTTGCTGCGGGTCCTGCTGCTGCGCATGCTCGGGCCCCAAACTGATGCTGTGCTCCGGAGGAGTCTCGGGGCTTGCTCCTCCCGCCGCCTCGGCCGCCTCTAGCCTGCAAGGCCAGGCCCACGTGGTCAGAGCCTGCAGGCCTTGCCCTGCCCTGCCGGCCAAACGCTCGTGCATTAGGGACTGTGGACACGGAGGGAACCCCATGGAGCCCGGGCCATTCCTAGATACATTCTCTTGATGTACACGGAGACTTAAGGGAACGGACCTGAACTGAATTCCAAATCGGCCCCTCATCCTATGTGGTTACCCCCCCCCCCCCACTGGCTGACAGGGCCAGGTGTGAACCATGGAAACCAAGGGTCACCCCCAAGTTTGCAGAGCCTCAGCCTGTATCCTACGGGTTTTCAGCATTTGGGAGTTTTGCTTTGGGGTTGGGGAAGGAGGATGCGTCTGACAGAAGCAGTCACCAAGGCTTCTGCGAGGGGTCAGGCCATACATCAGGAGTGCAGGTAGGCAGGAGGGTCGCTGGGACAACTGAGGAGCCTTTCAGGCCTCGGAGCCTGCCACAAATTGGCAGAGCCAGGCTGGGCCCAAGCCTGCTGCCTTGCTCCGGTGGGCGTCCCATCCTGGAGACCTTGGAGCCATCAACTGCCCACCTACCCTTACCCAGCCTCGCCCCGTTCCCCTCCTTCTCCGGTCTGCGGTGGAGAGGTGGCCCCCATGAAGTGGCCAAGGTCACTCGAGTCCGTGTCCACAGGGCCAGGAGGGCAGTCCCCGGGCCACCTAGGGGGGACGGGGCAGGGCAGGGGCCCACAGGCTCACCCTTAGCACCTCTATCTACTGAAAAATACCTGCCGAGAGTGGGGGGCGGGCTGGTGGGGCTGGCCAGAAAGGGGCGGGGGGGTGGGAAGGCCACCGAGTCGCCTGCGCTGGCAATGTACTGAATGAAGTCGGCGTGAGGGGCATCCCCCTCCTGCTCCATGCTCTCACTGGCTGCCCGCTGTCGCTGAAAATGGTGCCGCTTAGGGGAACCTGTGGGGGGGGGGGTAGTCGATTAGTTGAAGAAACTGAGGCAGAGGGCATGTGTGCCAAGATCAGAGATTTGGCATGAGCTGGAAGGCCTCGGGAAAAGCAGTCCAGACAAACGGCCATGGCTGGACAGGCACGGCCGTGAGAAGGGCACCAGTGGGCAGCATAGCTCAGCTCTTGCTGAAGCAGAGGAGCTGGGGCTTTTCGGGGCCTGCATGGGAGGATTGGGAGAAACTGCCCCACCCCTGCCCCAGCGCCTGGCCAGCAGCCAGGATCTTCCCCAAACAGAACTGCCAGTAGGCAGGCCTCCAGGTGGGGTGGAAGCCACCCGGAGAACAGGTTCTGGTCCACCACAGCAGCCTGTGGTTAATCAGCACTAGGAATCATGACTCCATCTCAGAACCTCCGCCCACAGTGGTACCCTGGGAAGGGAGGGGGTGAGCCCTCTGCCATCCAGACCCTCCCACACCCTTGCCCACAGGGAAGCCAGTGTTAGGAGCCGCTATCAGGAAGGCCAGGGTGTCCTCCCTGCAGTGAGCAGCCCTGTGTCCTGGGCCAGCAGGCTGCGCCCTTTCTTTGTGAATAGCTTTACTGACACAGGCCATGCTCATTTGCATATGAAAGTCACTTCCTACAGCAGAGGCTGAGATGGGACAGTGTGGCCACAAAAGCCCAAACTGTTACTGTCCAGGGCCTTATCAAAAGTGCCCGGGGATTAGCTGGGTGTGGCGTGTGCCTGTAATCCCCTAAACTCGGGAGGGTTGCTGCAGTTCAAGGTCTGCCTAGGCCACACAGTAAGAGACAAATGTCTCGCAACAAACAGGCATCCACAGATCCTATACCTAGTACAATGCTGCCTTTTTTTTTTTCTTTTTGAGACAAGCTGTCATGTAGCCAAGGCTAGCTTCAAACACACTGCGTGGCTGAGGCTGGCTTTGAATTCCTGTCCTTCTGCCTCTGCCCTCTTGAGTTCATGCAATACCGCACTAGGTTTAGGTGGCACTGGAGATGGAGGCCAGGGCCTCACGCACAGTGGAAAGGTGCTCGACCCTGTGGCTGGTTCTGGTAAGCCAAAGCCTATACAGGTCGAAGGACTGAGTAGAGGTCCAGGGAAGCTGGGACCCCCGATATGCTGACAGCTGAAGCCGTGCACCATGCTGGTGCACACAAGCCTTGGGCATGGAGGGTGAACACTCTGCCTAGGAGACACAGGCCATCAGGAACTGGCAGCCTTCCTAGAGGCATGCCGGCCCTGGGAGTTCCTGGCCATTTGCGAGGCCTCCATCAAGATGCCCCTGGCACTCATAGTCACTCTGCGGTGCCTTACCTCTCGTGTCCAGACTGGACGCTCTCTGGCTTGGCTCCAGCTTCCATTTCTTGACCTTGAAGTAGGGGCTGGCCCCATCCAGGCTGGCGTGGCGGCGTAGCCGTGTGAAGAACTGCAGTACAGTGCCAGGTCCCGAGGAGCCTGTGCCCATCTCCCCGGGTGCTGCCTCAGGCCCAGGCCCAGCAGCTTTGGCACCCCGGGCCCCTGCATCTAACTGGGGAATGTGGGGGAGGCAGGGATGGTTGTCAGGCACAGAGTCCCCTCTCAGGCCCTGACCCAACACCTGGGTGCCCACGAAGCAAGCCTGTGGTCACCCTTCTAACAGCCTTCTCTCTCAGGCCAGCTCCGCCCTCCTGGACCCTGTCCGTCTGTCCCGAAGGAAGGACCCTGTCTAGCAGCTCCCTTCCCTGGGCTGGGGTGGAGCTGAGCACCCTCCCCACCAGCCCGACTCTTACAGGGAATCCTGGTTCTGAGAGAGAAGGCACCTCGATCTCAGAATGCTGTGGGAAACCAGAGGGAGCCCTCACCGAGGTGCCCTCCCCAGAGTCACTGGAGGCGGAGGGGCTGATCTCCGAGAAGTCCACAGAGTTGTAGGGATCACCTGGCAGGGCGGAGCTGGGACCCACTGAGCGGCCAGTGAGGGCCTTCCCAGGGGGCTGTGAGACAGAGAGTTTGGGGGAGGACAAGCAGGTGAGGGGTGAGGGGGGTCCCACCTCCCCACCACAGCCAGTCAGGACCCCACTTGGTACCCACCACCGCTCTGCCGAGGACCAGGGCTGGCTGCAACGTTGACCCCTACCTGGAAAATAGCCAAGCTGTCTTTGGGGGTGGCGGCTGGGTGGGGTGTGGCCACTGAGCTGGCCTCACCCGGATCACACTCATGGATAGTAGCGATCTTGAGAGGCGGCAGGTGGAGGTGCGTGAGACGAGCATTCTTGAGGTGATGGAAGTCCCCTTCTGTCAGGGTGTACCTATGTTGAGGGACCCCTGACAATCAGCTCCGGCAGTCCCTGGCACATCTGCTTTACCATCCACTCCCTGTTCAAGGATGACTTTGAACTTCTGATCCTGTGTCTCCATCGATCTATCAAGTGCTGGGGCCACAGCCTCTGTTTACCTCTTGAGACAGGGTCTATGTAGACCAGGCTGGCCTTGACTCACAAAGCATCTGCCTGCCTCTGCCTGCCGCCACACTCAACATCCCCGTTTGTTTTTTGAGGTCTCTCGCCCTCGCTAGCCTGGGTTGGCCTTGAACTTGGCGGCAGTCTCCTGCCTCTGCTGGCCACCTGCCGGCATTGCAGGCACCCACCACCACACTCAAGGCAGGTCTTGAAATTGCGCCCACGGTGGGCATGGTTCGCTCTGTGCGGCCAGTCAGGCCTCAGATTCGAGGCAGTCAGGGCTGGAGTGATGCATGGCTCAGGCGTTCACACACTTAGCTACTCTTGCGAAGGACCTGAGTTGGGTTTCCGGGGCCCGTACTGGGCCACTCAGAACCACCCGTAATTCTAGCTCCGGGGAGATCTGACGCCTCCTCCTGGCCTCTGCGGGCACTTGCACCCACATATACAGAAACACTTAAAGACAACTCTGGTGACCCTCTTGCCTCCGTCCGCAGTCGCGGGTATTCAACCCCTAACCAGAGCTTGTCCTTCAGCGTCGATACTTACTCTCTCTGTCCACCCTGCCAGCCCACACCAAGAGACCTGAGCCGGGGTCCCCAGCTTTAGCACCAAGCTGTGACCTGGCTTCCCTCACCGGCGGCCCTTGTCCTGAGCCTTCCGGCTCTGTTCAAACAGGGCGGCCTCATTGAAGGACACGCGGCGGCCGGTGGAGCTGGTGGCTAGGAAGCGCTCTGTCTCCGTGTCCTGGCTCTCGGGGTCTTCCGCCCTGCAGTCGGGGTCTGTGAGGAGAGTCAAGAGAGGGTGGGCCCCGGGTGGGCCGCGCGTGTCTTGCTGGCAGGCAGGTCGCTGGGCAGGGGTGGGCCGGGAGGGGGGCGCGGGCCGAGTGAGGGCAGGACCGGGCGGGCGGGGCGGGGCGGCGGGCACTCGCTCATCCGCTCACACACTCACTCGCTCTCAGCACGCGCCTGTGCGCACCTACGCCTGGGCGTTAAGGAAACAGAGATGAGTCGGACTCGAACTGCGCCCAGTCTGGTGGGGGAGACAGACAGACAGACCGTCAGGCGGCCCAGGGGGGCGGGCAGGGGGCCGAGGGGCGGGGCGCGGCGGGGGGCGGGCAGGTGCAGCAGGGTGCTGCGGGCCACGCGGGCCCCTCACCTTGTATGGGGTGGGTGCCGTTGTCCAGGTAGGTCGTGGTGGTCTTCTCTGCTTCCTCCATGGCCCTGGGGAGGAAAGGCAGGCGAGGAGTGAGCGGGGATGGGGACCCCCGCCCGCGGGCACGCCGGGGCGGCCGGCCGGGAGGGAGGGAGGGAGGCGGCTCGCAGGGCACGCACCTGTTGAAGCGCTGGTGCACCTCCCAGCAGCGTTTGCAGAGCAGGAGAACGCCGGACAGCACCACCAGCGTGCCCCCGATGAACAGCGACATCACCACCACCAGCAGCACGTAGTTGTCCAGGATGGGGTCGGGCTCCGCCTGGGGGAGAGGTCGGGCGCGCGGGGCGGGCTGGGTCAGGGCTCCATCCCGCCCCATCCCCACCCCTGGCCTCCAGGAATCACCCACCCACCGTGGGGCGGCTGGTGGTATTGTCCCACGAAGTCATCAGGGCAGCCGTGGAGGTGGTGGTGGCCTCTGTGGCCATGGTGGCCGTGGGCTGCATTTTGAGGCTACAGGTAGGGCACAGAGCCAGCTCAGATCCAGCTCTGCCCGCCCCTCCCCACAGGAGCCCCTGCAAGTCAGCCCCCGTCAGCCCCGTGCAGCAGCGGCGGCGGCGGCGGCGGCTGCCGTCACTGGGGTGACTCATGGACAGGTGGGGCCGAGTCCTGCAGTGTGAGCCACCCCCACCCCCCCACCTCCCCAGGGCGCCTGGAGCCAGGGCTTTTTTCCCAGGACCTCTCTTTCGCCATCTTTATCACAGAGAAGGTGGCATCGCGCGTGCGCAGGAGCGTGTGTGTGTGTGTGTGTGTGTGTGTGTGTGTGTGTGTGTGCGTGCGCGCGCGTGCGTGTGTCTATGTGTACAAGTGGCTCTCCCACATCCCGGCCACCTCCCTGGCTGGCCGGTGCGGCCGGCCCAGCAAGGTGGCGCAGCCATGCCCAGAAAAGGGCCGGCCCGCTTGGGAGAGGGGGCGCGCAGCCCTGGAGCACACCCAGCCCAGATCCCCCGCGTCCTCCGCGGCTCGGGGCTCACGGGGGGCGGGGGGGGGCTGGCACCAGTGAGCCCCCCTCACACACACACCCGAGTCACGACTCCAGAGGAAAAGGTCCCCGCGCCCCGCACTGGTGGGTGTGGAAAGGACAAAAGACGCTCGTCTGTTCCTGGCCTGAAAAATCTGGTTCCCATGACGACGGTGCGCAGGGCCGCGCCGGGGGGCGGGTTGCCAGGCAGAGGGAGGCGGGCGGGGGCGCGGGGGAGGCCGCCCGCGGGGGCGCCCCGAGCCGCGGCCAAGATGGCTGCCCCACCAGGCCCCCGCCCGCAGCGTGGGGAAACTGAGGCTCGGGCACGTTCCGGGGTGGGGGTGGGGGCAACACTCAGGAGGGCGCTGCTGCAATTGCACCTGCCTCGCTCAGGGGATGACGAGGCTTCTGGGGTGTCAGGGCCCGCTCTGGCCCGCCATCCCCGGTTCCCACGCCCAGCGTGAGCGCGCCGACGCCGACCCGCACCGCCAGAGCCCGCAGGCTGCAGCGTCGCCAGCGCTCTGGGCTGCACGGCGGGGGCGGGGGGGGGACACTGAGCCCCGGATAAAACGAACGTGCCCCCAGGAAGGATCCGTGTCCTCGCGCTCCGGGGCAGGGGACCGGCCGCAGGCATCAATTTTGGCGGGTGGCAAGGGGCGCCTATGTCGGTCGGGGAATGAATTCAGGCTGGAGGGGGGTGGGGCACGGTGATGGGATGGTGACGGGAGTGACGGAAGATGGCTGGAGACTCGGGCGGGGAAGGTGGGGTCATGAGGGCCGGCGAGGACGCCCCCACCCCAGGACAGGGTGCGAGAGCGCGCAGGGAACCCGATACCAGGCCCGTGCGCACCCAGGAGGCCAAGGCGACACTGCCCTCGCCTTGTCACTGGGGTAAACTGAGGCCGAGGGCCGGCATGGGCGGGCTCCCTCTGCGGGCTGCGGACAGTGGGCGGGGTGCACGGCGGCTCGGGCCGTTCCCACGCTCCCTCCGCTCCCTCCCCGGAGCCACGCGCCGCCGCCGCCGCTGCGCGCAGGACTGGTGGGCCAGGGCGGGCCCGGGGGCTGCTCGCCCTGCCCTGGCCGCGCGCATTCGCCCGCCCGTCCGTCCCCGCCCGGCCCCGCGCGCCAGGGCCCGCCGCGCCTACCTCAGCGCCGGGGCGTGCGGCCCATGGGCGGCAGGAGGGCGGGCGGCGGATGCACGGCGCTCCCGGTTGGCTCTGAAGCTCGGTGGCCGCGGAGCCGGCGGAGAATTTATGAATGGAGAGCGCGGCGCGCGGAGGAGGTGTGCGATAAAGGAGGGGCCCCGCACGTGACCGCGCTGGCGGTGCGCCCGCTCCGGGCCCTGGCTCGGTGCTCCCGGTAGCCGCCCGGTCCCGCAGCCTGGCCGCCCCCGCCGCTCTCGCCGCCGCGTCTGGCTCGCTGCGCGCTGGCCACCGCCTCCCCTTCCCTTCCGGCGGGGGCGGGGGGCGGAGCCTGAGCTCCCGGCGCCCCCTCCCGCGGTCGCGCGGCCCCGCCCCCCGCCCCGCTGCGGGACTCGGCTTACCTGGTGCTGCAGTGTCCCCGAACCCGGTGCAGGGGCGCACTACGCCCCTCGCCTATCTGGGCATCGCCGAACACTGAGTCTTGGGGACCCCAGGCTATCCAATGTCTCACCTGTCACTCGGGTGCTCAGTTCCGGTCTGTGGATCCCCGTGGTCCTCAAGCCATGAGGTCTAGGTCCGTTTTTCTGTCACACATCTGTTTCCCCCATGCTGCTCTTCTGCAGGTTCATTGGGGTTCACGCTACACCCCAGATATCCAATGATGCCCCACACCTACTCAGAACTTGCACCCCAAACTGTTTGCGATGGTGCACACCGGCGTTTGGGAGATGAAATCAAGTGAATGAGGGTTCAAGGCCAACCTCGGCTACACAGACTTGTAGGACAGCTTGAGATGCAGGAGAACCCTTCCCAACCAACAGAAGTGTGGTGCGATGGCGCGGCCGCCAGGGTGCCCGCAGCCGAGCCAAGGACCCGTGGTCCATCCCTGGGTCCCACATGGTAAGAATGCCTACTCCTACAGGTTGTCCTTTGATGTCCAAAGCCTTGCTTTCCGCTTGCCCACTAACGAAATGAACGTAATGAAAATTTTGCCTTGCGTCCATAGAGGTCTGTTGTGGAATGACCCATCCCAGACAACCCTTTCCCTGCAATCAATGATCTTTCCTTTCTGCTGGTGCTGGGTTCCGACACGGGGTCGGTGCCGTTCCAAGAGTCCACGCTCCCAGGCCCTACCTGCTGCTCCTTGTGAAGCCTCACAGTCAAGCAAAGTCTGTCTTGGAGTTGGGCCCCTTACACTGATCTCTGGGACAGCAGCTCCCTTGTGTTCAGGGAAGGGGATTGACACAGAGATTCACGCAGTACCCCAGGCTTGCCTGCAAGTCACGATGTAGATAGACCAGGCTGGCCTCAAGCTCGGGTGTGTCACCACTCCACAATTTTTGTAATACTAAATCCCGTGTGTGTCTGTGTGTGTGTGTACGCACGCGCTCACACACCAGGAAAGGATATCAGATCTGAAGCTGTCCCACATGTGCACTGGGAACGGAACTCAAGTCTTCTGGAAAAACAGTGCTCGTTATTTAACTGTCTAGCCTCTCTCCAGCACCCTGGGTTTATTTTTCAAAAAGACTCGTCTGGTGAAACCCAGTGGTCACGTCTGGTGGACAGGGCATGCATGTCCTAGGTTTGCGCCCTTGCTTCCTGGAGCATTGGGTAGATACGGGGTCCTGGGATGGGGATGTGTGTTTAAGAGCTGGAACATGCGTGCAGGAAGCATCTGGGGAAAGGAGGGAGTTTCTAGCTGCCCACTGCCCAGGGAAAGTGTCCAGGTTACAGGGATTGGGAACCCGATGTCTCTCGTGGCGCTTAATCGAGGCTATCTATGGCTGCTGGCTATTGCGCAGATCTGAGGCCTAGAGTTTGGAGAATCACAAAAGGAATCACACTCGCATCCGCCAGACCCAGGTCCAAGAGTGACCACGACCCTCTAGCTGCCTTTAAGTCAAGCCAATGGTTTTCCTACCGTGTGCCCACCAACTTGCATTTTCTGTGAGCCTACATGGGGGGCGGGGGGAGTCTGGGGACCAAAAGCTCAGCGGGGGCTGGAACCTGCGTAGGTGCGGGGGCGGGGTGGTGACATCATGGCCGAGAGCGAGGCTGCGCGGACACAGCAGACGTCAGTGGAGCCCCCCCCCCCCCCGGCCGCCCGCGCACGCGCTCCTGCGTCAGCGGCGCGCGGGGGCGGAGGCCCGCAGGGAGGGAGACTGCGGAGAAGAGCGGGTCCATCTCCGGGCTTCGCGCGCCCTCTGCCGGCGCCGGGGTGCACGCCACTCGGTACGCTCAACGGTCTGCCTCCTCCCCTGTCTCGTGGCACGACCTCTCCAAGCACGCACCGCAGCCGGCACCACACATTTTATTTATGTATGTATTTATTTATATTCAGGTTCCCACTGTGTAGACCTGGATGGTGTTGGGCTCACGGAAGCCCCACTAGCCTCAGCCTCCGGAGAGCTCTGATAAACTACACCGGGCTTGTATTTGATTTTTTAAAACGTATTCTGGTTCACACCTTTGGAAGTGGGTTGTTACTGTGCGTCGTGGAACTCGGTGGTCCTCCTCCATCAGGAGTGCGTCACCACACCTGGCTGGTAGTCCAAATTTTAATCCTTCTCTCCCAGCACATTGCGGGTTTGCTTCTTTGGGGCCTCGAATGCATGCTAAGCGCCTCCACACTGTTCGGCACCTGTGCTCCAGCGGGCGTCCCTCCAGCGTGTCCGGCGGCCGAACAGCCTAACACCAGGGCGTCCTTTGCAGTGTGAAGGCGAAGAAAACTGCAATTCCCAGAATGACCCACACCGCCTGGGCTCCGCCCACTCCTGGGCGGTGCGGCCGGAGGCGGAGCGAAGGCAAACTATACCTCCCAGAATGCCCAGCGCGTTCTGCCTCGCGCGCGGCCTACCGGGAGTCGTAGTGCGCGCGTGCGTGCTTGGGGGGAACTGCGCCTCCCAGAAGGCTCCGCGCGCCGTCCTCCGCGCCCTCCCTCAAGGCCGCAGTGTGTCCGCTGTCCGCGCCGCCGCCGCCGCCGGGAGTCCGCCGTTGCCCTCGCCGCCATGCTGCCTGCCGCGCTGCTCCGCCGCCCGGGCCTGCGCCGCCTGGTGCTCCAGGCGCGCGCCTACGCCGAGGCCGCCGCCGCTCCGGCCCCCGCCGCCGGGCCCGGGCAGATGTCCTTCACCTTCGCCTCCCCGACGCAGGTGCGACTCCGCAGCCCCCGGGTCTCCAGGCCCGACTTGGCCCGGGTGGGGTGGTCACCTCTATTGGGCCCCAAGCTGCACCCCCACGGGGCCCGCACGGACCCCTTCCCCGGAGCCTGCGCCTTGACGCGGCCCCCCTGCACCCCAGGCCTGACCCTGCCCTCTGAAACCTCATGCCCCACGCCCGAGGCTTGCACCGGGAGGGACCTAAGACTCCACTCCGGACCCCGGTGACGCCAGGCGTGACGCCTGGACACGTGCCGCACGCCTCGGGATTGCAGGCCGTGGGGCCCGTGTGCACCCCCAGGCCTCATCCCAGGCTTAGGTAGTGTTCGCTGAACCCCAGGATCCACACAGACCACGGACCCATTCCCGCTGGGGTTCACACGGAGCCTAGCCCCTGCCCACGGGAGAGGCACCCGTGCCCAGACCCGGAGCCGTGCTCAGTGACTGGCCAGACCCAGGTCCTGCCACTGAAGGGTCGTCTGGCCTCGGAACAGAAGCTGGACCTGCTGGGGTCGCCTGGGACTGACCCGGGCTCCCTGTCCCAAAGGGGTCGCCTGAGCCCGAAACACGCTCTGTGCAGACCCCAGTCGGGGTCTTGCCAGCTTGCGCTTGGACTCACTGGGCTGCTGAGGCTGGCCTTACACTTCCCGTCCTCCTATGGCAACTTCCTGGGTAGGGGGAGGACAGCCTTGGGGTTCCTGGAAACCCCATCTCCAAGAGGCCAACCCCCGGCCGGATGCCACCCTCGTCCGCATTGCCCTCTGTTTCAGTCACATCTTCTCCACACTCCTTGGAAACGGGCACCCCGTTTCACGGGGAGCAGGCCGGGTCTGACGCTGGCACTAGGTGGCATCTGCGTCCCGCCAGCATTCCGTCTTCGCGGTACCCACCGTGTGGCACAGGGTGAAGCCCACCCCACTCGGTGCACTCTTGCAGGTGTTCTTTGATGGCGCCAACGTCCGGCAGGTGGATGTGCCGACGCTGACCGGAGCCTTTGGCATCCTGGCATCCCACGTGCCCACGCTGCAGGTCCTGCGGCCCGGGCTGGTAGTGGTCCATGCCGAAGACGGCACCACAACCAAGTACTTCGGTGAGTGTGGCCCAGGGTGCACGGGGGCTCGGATCCCACGGCGCATGGGGAAAGCAGACAGGCTGGCGCAGCCCACCCAGACCGAGGTGCAGTCATCGGGGGCACAGAGAGACCCGAACAGCCGACCTCACCGCAGCTGGCAAAGGAAGAGACGTACAAGTGACCGTTGAGGAACTAGCCCCCGCCAGCTTTGGTGTGGGAGGGCGCCAGTCTGAAGGACCTCTGTCCCAGGGTGGACTCCCTCCTCCCAGGTCGCTCCTTGATGGTGTCTCCGCTCATGCCTCAGTGTTTAGTGGTACTAAGGATGGATGGAGCCCAGGACTGTGGGAAGTCGCCACAGCCTCACTGGGGGTTCTGGGCGGGGCTCCACCTGACCACGCCCCCAGCCCCTCACTGGGGATTCTAGGCGGGGCTCCACCCTGACCACGCCCCCAGCCCCTCACTGGGGAGTCTAGGCGGGGCTCCACCTGACCACGCCCCCAGCCCCTCACTGGGGATTCTAGGCGGGGCTCCACCCTGACCACGCCCCCAGCCCCTCTCTGGGGATTCTGGGCGGGGCTCCACCTGACCACGCCCCCAGCCCCTCACTGGGGGTTCTGGGCGGGGCTCCACCTGACCACGCCCCCAGACCCTCACTGGGGGATTCTAGGCGGGGCTCCACCTGACCACGCCCCCAGCCCCTCACTGGGGGACTCTAGGCGGGGCTCCACCCTGACCACGCCCCCAGCCCCTCACTGGGGGATTATAGGTGGGGCTCCACCCTGACCACGCCCCCAGACCCTCACTGGGGATTCTAGGCGGGGCTCCACCCTGACCACGCCCCCAGCCCCTCACTGGGGATTCTAGGCGGGGCTCCACCCTGACCACGCCCCCAGCCCCTCACTGGGGATTCTGGGCGGGGCTCCACCTGACCACGCCCCCAGCCCCTCACTGGGGGACTCTAGGCGGGGCTCCACCCTGACCACACCCCCAGACCCTCACCTGGGGATTCTAGGCGGGGCTCCACCCTGACCACGCCCCCAGCCCCTCACTGG